ATACTTATTATCTTGTAAACAATTGGCAAATCAAATAAATAAATAAATAAATAAAAAGATTGGACTGCCATTTGTCAGAAATGGTGTAGGGTCTCCCACTTGGACTAGATGACCTAAAAGATCCCTTCCAACTCTGATTATCTGTTATCTGTTTCTGACAGGAAGAAAAGTAATCCAGATTTTCTCAGGAAAAAAAAGGGAGTGTTGCTAATAGGGCAATCTCTTCTCAGGGGAATGAAATCAGCAATCTGTAGGCCAGACAATCAATCTAGGGCAGGGTTGTCAAACTCATGTCCTCATGGCAGCATCATGTGACATACTGGGACTTTCCCCCCCTTCGCTAAACTGGGCATGGGCAGGATCAACACGTGATGCATCTGGCCCATGGGCTGGGAGTTTGACAGCCCTGATCTAGGGATTTACTACAAAGATGTGACTGAGAGCCTACAGATTACTATCTCTTTCTTTTCTTTCATGTGGAGATGAATGACACAATTATGAATCTGAAAACAATATAAAGAGACTATTGCTTGGCAGGAAAGTTAAGAAGTTAGGAGGATAAGTGGTGTTTTCATCTGTACTTCTAACAAAAGATCAACATCCAATGAGGAAACAAAGGATTTTAGAAATAAATCACTGGTTTAAAGGATGATACAATCAAGTAAACTTTGGATTCAAAGACCATGATTTGCATTACTTACATGAAGGGGTTTTGACAAGGGATGAACTGCATCTCACAAGAACCTTGAAGAATGTATTTGGAAAATGATTGACTCTGTTGAGGTAATTCCCCGTGAGGAGAATGAGCGCATACAGGGAGACTTATAGAGAGTAGTGTTTGAATAATACACACACAGCACACAGATATACTGTACAGTAAATGTAGGTTTTTACTTCCAGAAACTTTTAAGCAAAATTTAAAACAAGCAGTCAAAAGTCATTCACAGGTTAAATCAGTCAGTTTTCAGTCCAGGGATAATCCAATAACATAGTCCAGTGTCAAAAACAGTTCAGTATCAGACTTACATCAAATCCAAGAATATCAGTCAATTAGAAGAAATGGAGGAACGGCAATACTCTCCAACAGAAGGAAACAGAGAGACTCACTGAGACACACTCTCTTCTGAGACTAATACTAAGACAACCCAGATTTCTAGCTCCATCCTATGGCCATTTGAGAAACCACACCCAATTACAAATTTTGCATTTTCTTAAAGAGTATTAAAATGTCTATCCTGGTTTGTATATTGTCCAACCCAAATAGCTGTTAGGTGACTTACATTCCTAACAGACTCAGCTTATCCAAAGGGCTTTAAACTAAAATTGAGGGAGGGCTGTGATCAATCTTTAGGATCATTAGGGCCTAATTCCAAGCACAAACCCCAAGACAACCAATTAAAAAAAAGGAGGTAAGGAGGTAAGGATGGTAGAAAGATATAAAAACTCAGATATAAAGCAGGAAACATAAGAAGCATACCCAGGGCCAGCCATAAAGGACTCAGATGCATTAAACCAATGCTCAAAGTTTGAGGTACAAACAAGGTGAAATTGAAGTATTAATATACAAGGGCAGGTATGATATAGTTGAGAATATAATAGAACAGAACATAACAGAAAATAAAATAAAACCTAGCTTAAAAACAGAAACTGTGAGAGGGACCTTGGAGTCTTAATGGATGATCAATTAAATATGACCCAGCAGTGTGTAGCTGTAGCGAAAGAAATTGACTACAATCCTTGGTTGTATAAGCAGAAGCATAGAATCAAAATCACATGAAGTATTTGTACCTCTTTATAAAACTTTAGTAAGACCACACCTGGAATACTGCATCCAGTTTTGGTCACCACATTACAAAAAAGATATTGAGACTTTGGAAAAGTACAGAGAAGAGCAATTAAGATGATTAAAGTTAGGGACTAAAACATATGAAAAATGGTTGCAGAAATTGGTTATGGCTAGTCTAGAAAAGAGGACTAGGGATGAAATAATAGCAATATTCCAGTATTTGAGAGGCTTCTACAAACAAAAGGGACTCAAATTATTTTCCAAAGCACCAGAAGGCAAAGTAGGAAACAATGGATGGAAACTAATTCAGGAGAAAAGCAAACTGGAATTAAGGAGAAACTCCTTAACAGTGAGAACAATTAATCAGTGGAACAGTTTGCCTTCAGAAGTTGTGGGTGCATCATCAATGGAGGTTTTTAAGAAGAGATTGGACAATCATTTATCTGAAATGGTATAGGGTCTCCTGCTTGAGCAGGAGATTGGACTAGAAGACCTCCAAGGTCCCTTCTAGCTCTATTCTGATTGATTGTAGGGGATTTAATCATTTCTCAACTATATTGCAACTTTTTGGGTTATGCTTATCTTACAGATCTTAGGCTAAACTGTGGAAAGATACTCCAACATATCTGGAGAGGTACCAGTTTAGGGGTTTCTGCACAGCTTACTACCATGATACCAATAGATGAGAATATTTGTAGCTCAGGGCTGAAAGGAGGTGCTCTCTGAGAGGTTCTTCTTCTTCTTTTTTTTTTTGCAGATATTTATTTCAAACTAAGTAACATCATTAGCCCTAGACATCATCAGGATTAGCACTGACAATGTTACCTAGCTTGGATAATGAAATGTCTGCAAGAAAACAACCAAGCTCAGAGAGCACCACCTTGAAAACATTTGGGAGGAAATGATGTTGTTGAAATAAATAAATAAAGCATTTATTCTGTTCTTGATGATTATGCAGATATCAGAAATAGATGCCCACTGAGATGCCTTATGGAGTATACAAAACCTTTTGATAGGATAAATTAGAAAAAATATCAACATCTAAATAAAAAACATTATTTTCCAACTTTGCTAAAACAACTGTTTTACAGTGGCTTGAACTTTTTTTGTAACCCCCAAATATTGTTCAAGGCCAGGTGTGTAGGAGGAAGTGAAAACCACAGTTTTCAGGTATTGTAGGTATTGCAAATATTACTGCATTATTTGTAAACTAAATATATGGAGCATAAGGCTTATGAAAGGGTAATTACATTGTGAAAACTGATGGTTAACTTATGTACATATTTACCCATATTTGTAACTGCTGCAGGAGTTTTTAGCCATATAAGGCAAAGTGTGTGTGTGACACATGACAGATTCAGGATTGTGAGTTTTGTGGTTTGGGAGTATAAAAGAGTTGGCTGTATTCAACAATATCACGCAGGCTTTGAGGGCAATCTCCCTGTGTCTTTCTAAGCAGAATAAAGAAATATTGCTTCAATCTTTACCATAGTGGTAAAATTTGGTTTCAACGCACAGTCTTGAAGGACCCAGTGTGGGCTGGTACATCCTTCTCCAGGGGTGTCAAGTGCATTTAGAAAGAAAATGGCCACAATTGTAGCATTTTTTTTATTCAGTTCTCTTCTTCAATCACTTTTTGCATCAGGTAAGGAAAATACACTAATGTTTTGATTCGTTTCACCTGGGATAGTGTATCATTGATCTTTGCTTTAGGAAATTGATTTTCAGAGAGTATTTATTTAGATAATTTGTATAATGTTTGGATATGTTTCCTACTTCTAATCAAGGGAATAAGTGAATGCTTAGCAAGGAGCTTCTTGAATTCCGGTATTGTCTTTTTTCCATTTTAGTGCCTCCTCCCTGTGTCTTTCCATTTATTTACAAGGGAAAATCCTACAAATCTTGTACTGAAGATGCAAGCCAGAACCGCCCATGGTGTGCCACAGTTGCAAACTATGATCAATATAAACAATGGAAGTATTGTGCCACTAAAGGTTTGACATATTTACATTTCTGTGCTACCTTACTCAATAGGGTTAGGAAATATAACAGTAACCCTGAAACAGTCAGGTGATTCCTTTTATAATGTTTCTGGTTTAATCTAGTATAGAATTAAAACAGGCATTGTAGAGCAGCGGTCGCCAACCGGTAGGCTGTGGCCCACTGGTGGGCCATGAGAAAATTTGGGTGGGTCGCAGAGAAATCTCACCCCCAGAGCATCCCCCCAAAACAATTAATCCAGGCTGTGCAGAAACACAAGGCTGTTCAGCCCACTTGACCCACGGGAACCCTCCCTGCCCATTCACTCCTTACCCGGCAAACTTGCCTGATAAATTGCTATTTTTCCTTTTTCCAACCATCAGCTGTTCTGCTGTGCTGGGAAATTTTGATTAGCTAGGAAGCAGGAAATGATTGGATTTCTTGCTTTCTAGCTTGTCTTTAGATCTTCGGCTCTGCTTTTAAGCACAGCCAAACCTCCCTTAGCACTGAAGGTTCTATTATTCAGTGCAGACCCACGACAAGCAAATTTGAGAGACTGAGCTAGCCGATGGCAGATAGATAGATCACTGAATGATTCTGTGAGCAACTCAATCTGCCTGCCTGCTTTGCCTGCTTTTGGGTAAAAGTTGCTCTTTTTTTAATAAAAAAATCAATATTTATATAAATATTTATAATATTTACATACAAGCCATGCCTAGCCAGTCACATGACCACTAAGCCACACTCACAAATTAGGCCATGCCCACAGAACCAGTTAGTGGTTCTTGGGATTTAAAATTATGAGTTTGGTCCCTGAGATCCAAAAGGTTGGCGACCCCTATTGTAGAGTGTTTGTCTGAACTTTAGTAAGCTTAACCTAGCTTCACCACAACAATGTAACTGCCCATCAATGTGAAGCTTAATTATACAAGATTAAAAAGATATAGTTTGGATGACAAGTCATTTAATCTCTCTCCCAGAAGAGAGCTCTGTATCTCAAAGTATATACTTGACACTGGTAGTCTGCAATACTGCATTGTAACCACTGTGCCACCATGACTCATTAGATGTATGACTCTTCAAATATACACATGATAAAGGGGCTCAACAATATGGAAGTAAAATCTGAAATAATATGGTATGGAACAATGCTAAAATTATACACACACACACACATATATATACATAATTTTATATAATATATAAATATTTTATTGCTTTGTCTTTTGCTTAGAATATGGTGGTAATTCTGGTGGAAAACAATGTACATTCCCCTTTACATACAAGAAACGAACGTATTATACTTGCACAAATGAAGATGCAGAAATAGGAAGATTCTGGTGCGCAACAACTGGGAGTTATGATAAGGAGAAACAATGGAGCTACTGTGCTGATACTAGTAAGATAACTGTGTGGTGTTAGCTTATTTGGTGTAATAGACATGGCTAGGTTGTACACAAAGGAAAGTAAAGGAAAGAGACTTTTTAATTGATAAAAAATGGATAAAAAAGGTTGAGAATGGTGCAGAAATGAATACATTTTTGAGGAACAGAGGAACAATACTGTGTAGTTTAGAGGCAGGGCATTTAACCAACGTCCTTAGATCAAGTCCCTTACATCTTGAGAAATAGATTAATAAAGGTCATGGGAACTGATAATGTTCAATATAAAACACAAACAATGGTTTAATTAGAGTGGGCAATTAATTTTACCAAAGGGCCACATGAGGAACTGGGGGTGTTGTGAAAGCCCAAACCAATAACTTCTGACTGCACACCACCCATTCACCTGTAAGGTGGTGCTTTGAGGATATGGCAGTGGGTGGCTGAGGTCAGGCCGCCTCATATGATAACCATGGCTGCCTCTTCAGTCTGCTCCAAGTGAGGGGTGAGCATTATGCAGAAAAATACTTTCTCTCCTTGTCTTCCTGCGGCCGTAAGTGGTGATTGCACAGAGCCTAATCTGGGCTTCTTTTCCCAACTCTTGGAGAGCACTTACAGGTAGTCCTCAATTTACAACAGTACATTTAGTAACTGTTCAAAGTTACAATGGCACTGAAAAAAGTGACTTATGACCGTTTTTCACAGTAACAAACTGTATAGCATCCCTATGATGTGATCAAAATTCAGATGCTTGGCAACTGGTTCATACTTATGACCATTGCTGTGTCCCAAGTTCATGTGATCATCTTTTACATTCTTCTGACAAAGTCAATGCCAAAGCCCGATTCACTTAACAACCATGTTATTGACTTATTAACTGCAGTGATATAGTTAACAACTGTGGCAAGAAAGGGTGTAAAATGGGGCAAAACTCACTTAACAAATTTTTCACTTAATAACATACATTTTGGGCTCAATATTGGTCATAAGTTGAGGATTATGTGTATTTACATTTGATTTCTAATTTCTAATTTGCCCCACATAGGCCCGAAGGACAGCTAAAGAGCTGAATGTGATTGGAGGCCATAAAATGCCTAATTCTAGTCTATTATATCAGTATCTCCAATTTGAATAGTCATATGAGACTAAGTGATGTGGTTCACCTTTTCAAGTAGAAAGATTTGTTTTTAGTATAATTTCTGATATACTGCAATTAAGTCAAAAATACTTTAACTCAAATGCTGAACCCAATAATCGGTGACTCTTTTACTCATTTTTTTTCATCACTATTCAGGACTAGCTGCAAATTCACAGGGGCCTTGTGTGTTTCCTTTTATCTACAAGGGGCAATCCTACCAAGCTTGCACAAAAGCTGGGTCTTCTGGTGGAAAGCTCTGGTGCTCTTTGAGCAGCAACTATGATAGAGAACCAAAATGGACTTACTGTACACCCTCAGGTATGGAAAAAAACTTGGATGATAGAAGGAAAGACTTTGGACAATCCTGCTGACTAGCTCTGCTAGTTAGCAGGACTTGATTCTCCCCTTTGGGACAGGGGAGAATCAAGTACAAATCTACACTAAGTTGCAAAAACACTCTGGATCACTTTCCACCAATTACCATTTATCAATCCAATCTACCTCTGAAGACTGCCTTGGGGATGACATTGAAGAACAGAGCATAGAAATATGTCGTATATCTGAAGTAAGACAATACAGGTCTAAATAAGTCATTTTTGCCTTAGAAATTGATTCTTCAGGGCTATAAGAACATATCCATGTTGTTTTTTTGGCAACACATTAGAACTGATTTGCCATTGTTTTCTCTATATATTTTGTTGTTGACATGTTGATGTGTTTTCTCTGTAACAATGAGATTTCTTAGTGACCTGCACCCCCACTAATAGCCAGAAATGACTTGCTTAGTTTTTCATGGTTGGTCAAGTACTGCTACCTGTTCTGATTAATACACATCTAATAATAAGAAGATGTGGTAGAAGTGCATTGAAAAATGCCATTAAGTAAACAATTTCGTTGGATTATTTGAAGCAGAAAGAAGAACCTCAATAGTTGAGAGTTGTAGCTGGGGGTGAAAACAGAAGGACAACTGAAGGTGAGATAACAGAATGTTGATCCATTAATTTCTATGGAAAGAAAAATTAAAAGAGGTATTACTGTACAGAAAATATTGTGATCAGATAGTATCTTAGTTTGAATTTTTATTACAAGTTTATACATTTTTATTTTCTTAGTTCACCTTTACGTAGGACAGAATTATTAGGAGTCACTGGGCAAATAACCAACTGAACTGAAAAAAATATAGTTTTAAATATTTAAAATTAAAATCAATTTGTAACTATTTAAATTGAAAGTACTTGCTGGGCCAATCTGATAGTGTATTTAGTAGTGTGGAACTCACAAATGTATCAGGACATAAGGAAGTGCAGTGCTATGGATCCAGAGTTGATACTGTGCTTTGGAAGTAATAAGAAGCTGCAGATTTCCCTGGGATTCTATGAAAATGCACACCTAAGGTTAAAGAGATTCAGCCATATGCAGTTGCTGCTCTAAAACACCTTTTTGGCTTTTGATCTAAGCCCTGACCATCCCTATCAGGATTGTGAGCTATGAGATACTCAGCAGCTGTGGACCACCATTGGCCATGAGTTCACCAAGGAAGACAAAGTGTTTTCCTCAAGATGTCCTGGTAGTTATTTGGTAATCTTTTAGGACTATAGGAATTAATCTTCAGCTATCAAGCTATTCCTTTGTTAGAGGAGTTAGGAAGAACGGTGAGAATAACCTTGGAAGATGGGGAAACGGCAGTGAGAATGATTGAATAAAAATCACCTTAGTCCACAGAACAAACAGGATTGTGGCAAGTCTCAGAAGGGGCCCACCTCAATTTCTTGGAATGTAAAGGTAAAAAGGGAAATGAACTTTCAGACTTGCAAGACTCTGCTAATGTAACCTCCCATACAGTAGAATTAATCCATCTGGTCATGTTTCCTGACCGGACATTACCGTGACAGAAATCAATCAATTTTAGCAGGAAGATACAGTATATATGTAACCATTTAAGCACGTCTATTTTTTAATTGATAAATCCATTTTCAACAGTTATGTATGGCATACACAATGTCTTAATAAATTCTATTCTACCTTGAATCTTAATCATCCCATTGCTCATCCAATTATCTGTTTTAAGATTGCTTCTTTTGGGGGTGCTGCTTCATTTCTTCCCCCATTATCTTTCCTTTTCAGAATTAGGTCCTTGCAAATTTCCCTTCCGATTCAACAACAGATACTACTATCGTTGTACAAGAGAAGGTGCATCTGATGGCCAATTGTGGTGTGCCACAACTGCAAACTATGACCAGGACAGTAAATGGAGGGCATGTGCCACTGAAGGTAGGAGAAACAACAGTCCTTCCCCACCTCAAAATCCAGAGATTCTGAATAGCTGCAATGATATTTCAATGGAACAAATGTCCTGTCAGGGGGTAGTTTCCATGGAACATGGGAAATGCAAATTAAGATCTTCAATTACAGATAAAAAAGAAGTTCAGATTAAGGATGGGAAAGCAAGTCAATGTGGGTCAAATGAAATATTTTAAGTGGATGGGTGTGAAAGTAGAAATGAAAAAAATAATAATAGTAAAAATGAATGCACTGGAGTGGAAGAATTAATTCTAGGTGAGGGACAACAATAACATTAGCTGAAATGGAGTAAACAACAAGTATTGTGGATGGTATGACAGGGTAGAGATAGGATACAGAGCATGGCTTGTGGAATTCTTTCCAACTCTTTTACTGCAGTGGTCACACATTTCTGTGCCTGTATGAATTTAGGAAACAGAAGGTGGGCTATGTTTGATCCAAACTGGGCCACATGATGAAGATTAAAGCTTAGACAAAAGTAGCCATCCATATCTCAAGCTTCTCCCATTTGTTTCTACATAGGAATTCCTCCAAGGAGATTTCATTTTTTTCCCTACTGCCATGCTTCTTCCAATCTGTTTTACAATAGATCTTTCTTTTGCTGCCTTCTCTTGATTTCATTCTGTTCAGTTTTCAGACAACTATCATGATAATGTTCAGAGTCCCCTCTCCTCTACATAATTGTTTTTGAAAACTTTATGACTCATACCCTGGTCGCCTCGTGCTTAGACTATTTTAGAATGCTTTACATAAGACTATTGTTGAAAAATATTTGAAAGCTACAACTGACAGAAAATGCTACAGCAGTTTTAGGAATGTTTAGGGTAGCCCGTATAACACCTCTGTTGCAGGAGCTATACTGGTTTCAGTAGACCTGAAAGGAGCCATGAGTAAAACTGGCATTCTATTTTTATACCTCAGGATGTATGAAATTCTAAACAACAGTACAATTATTGGTTACAAATTTCTTATCATCAATATACCACACATGTAAGTAATGCTGTTCAACTTGGAACAGTATGTGTACAGGTAGTGCTGTTCAGGTGTTCTTAGCATGACCTATACCCTTAAAACTCTGTTTGCCCACAGCCTTACTTTTCCAGCAACAGGTCTTTTTGCAACAAGCTTCTAGGCACTTCTCTAACTGCATCTTACACAACTAAGTTTTCTTGGTAATGTCTTCTTTTAGCCTAATCAAGCATTCAGATCTTGCTTTGTCCTTAGCAAAGCATCTTGCAACTTCCTTTTCCAATGTTGGTTCTAGTAGGTAGGTAGGTGGGTGGCGTGGGGAAGAGAGAGAGAAAGAGACAGATGATTTTGCAAGAAAAGAGGTTAAAGATAAAATGTGGAAAAATGGAGTTTGGAATCCTAGGCCTGGATAAGATTAAAGTTCATCCCAATATAAAGGCTACCCCTTTTTTATTTGTGTGTTTCCAATATGTACAGAATATGAAGGCAATTCTAAAGGCAAGCGCTGTGTCTTTCCATTCACCTACATTGGGAAAAGATTCAATTCTTGCACCAATGAAAATTCAGAGGATGGAAGATTTTGGTGTTCTGTCACAAGTAACTATGACAAAGACCGGCAATGGAGCTACTGTCCTGATACAAGTAAGATAAATCAGAAGTTGCTCTATGAATCATTAATCAGAATATGGAAGTCCCTTAAACTATCTGGGTGCAAATTTTTAGTTGACATACCAAATTTAGGAATAATGTCTACATAATGTAGGAAAATAAATGTGCCATAGTGATTATTGTAAACTAAAAGAGAAGAAAAAAGTGACTTTGAATTGGATGGGAGTCAATCTTTATTTTATTGATATCATTATCCTATTTGGTTAGAAATCTAAGGTAGCTCTTAATTAACTTGTATGCCACCTCTAGGCAACTTTAGGCATCTTACATATTAGATTTAACACCAAAAATGTAATAATATAAAGAATAATTGATCATACTAATGGCACATCAAAGAAAAACAAAAATAAGGAATCCAGTTACTCATTAAGTAATATAAATCCAATACTACAGTGTAGATTATGAAACACTCTGTCCTAAGTGCTGTTGGAAGAGCCAGGTCCTTAAAGATGTATGAACAGGTTGCAGAGTCAAGGGCGAATAGAATTCAGGAAGAATGCTATTTCAGAGAGTGGGTGCAGCTACAGGGGAGGGTCATCTCCTAGGTCCTGCAAGATGACATTGTTCTACATTTGGGATTTGGAGTTTGCCAATGTTACCAAATTTTAATGACTGGACAGAAGTTGCAAGAGAAGGGCATGATCCTGTAGATATCCAGCCTATAAGCCATTTGATAACCTATTATGTCTTAAAAAGAAGAAATACTGTTTCCTTTTTACTTAGAAAATAGCTAAACTGTATCTATGTATATTACAGAACTGACCATCTGCCATTCTTTCTAGGACTGTAGACCAGGAAGGCCTGTTGGACAATATGTGTGATTTCTCAGGTAGGACAAAATTGGAAAAGGGACAAGAAAATGCTTGAGATACTAAAGTTAGGTGGGGAAAAGATCTGGCCACGGACGTCTTTTTAGCACAGTAGAAAATAATAACATAACAACCTCAACTGTTTACTTTTACGCAATAACACATACTAGCCATTTCTATAATAACAAACCTATCTAATCAGCAAAACCAAAATCAAAGTTTCCTTTTTTTCCCATCACAAGCACAAAATCCAGAAGCAGTTTCCAAATGGAAGCAAAATTAAATATGTTCTTTATTGTGAATAACAGAATCAATTTAATTGTTACCCTTTTTTCTTGCTGTGGAAAATAATATACGTTTCTGTTTACGCTTATTAATCATTATGGACTATCATAATTGATGTTAACATAATTTGTTACACTCTCTCAGATTCTTTAATCTTGAAGGGAAAAACATTTTTTAAAAATAATTTTAAAACTCTAAACTTTTCTTTGAAAATATTTCTAAAATCAATGAACTCTAAATTCTAATACATCTTTTTTATTTTCTTTTAAATTAATATATTCAAATTAATTTTCAATAATATTTTACAAGCTTTAGAAATAACTCAAGTGTTGTATATGAAAAAATTTCAAACTTACTTTTATAAACAGAAAATTACATTCAAGGTTTCCTTCAAATATATATAAATATAT